TTGTCAGTTTACTTCTTCTTTTTGTTCTCCATTCCAAAGTATGGGCCCCTACTGAGGACAGAATCGGAAAATATTGTCACTTATGTGGTACTTGTTTTTCCTGTGTCATATTAATGCTGTGTCAATCAGTTTTGTACTTTTGCTAATAGGAGATATAGTATACATACAAACAAGGAAAATTGTGTGTTGAACGTGTGGGGCAACCATAATACTGATGGAAGAGTTGAAGGGGGTCCTGACTGAGCTCCAGGACCGAATGTGCTCTATCCCACAGTGGAAGTGAACTGCTTAGGTCATTGCTTCCACTGATATTGTAAAATAAATTACTATTTTTACATATTAAATTCTGTGCAATCTGTCCTGTAGATAAAACTGGCCTGTGCACTTGCTCTTCTACTTTGTACCATTCCCTGGTCCTGCGTACTTGCTTAGCACAAAGTAACAGCTGTTCCCATTAATTGGTTGTTATTAACCTTCGGTCATATCACTTGCCATGCATGGTGAACTTCATTCACTGCTCCGGCACAGACCAGGAGGCAGAATGATTTATAGACTAGATTTTCTCCTTCCTCCTATTGATCTAGAATATCAAGCACCTGTGAGAAATGAGAGCAATTAAGTACATTTTCCGACACACAATGGAAGAATCAGCAGCTAGAGAGGGATATTATGGTATAAATAGCTTTACATTACTCCCAATGTAGAAACCATAAGGCATTCTCACTTCCAGTTAGTCACACATAACTTCTTTTTCATATTGATATACCTTGCGGAAGCTCCATCCAAAATAGTGGTCACCATTTTTCCTTAACATGGAGGAGGGCTTGATTCTGCCATGGAATCCCTGCCCAACTACACTAAATACTATTTTTTTTTGGGTAGAACATTTTTATGTCTTCTGGCTAATCAATAGGCCCTCTTTAGCTTCTGCATTCTCTTGGTGGCGGTGGGTTGTCCTTAAGGATGCAGAGAGTGGCATTTGTGTCATGACGTTGGTGCCACTGTTTGCATCAATACAATGTGAATACAGGATGCTGTACTCGGGTGGGCCATGATACTCTGCACTCGCAGGCTTTCCTTTAGTCTTCTAGGTTGGGTGACACTGGGCATCATTCAACTTGAGGATTTCTCATGACAAAGAAGAGGTAATATGGTTGATGGCTCCAGATGGCAGGTGAGCTGTTTTTTAAGGGAGCCCAGGGTAGCATTTAAATTAAATAAGTTAGGATTTACACATATTAATGTATTACAAATATTGTCTATATGTATAGTTTGTACTCATCTACAGTATATAAATGGAGACAATTGTGTTTGCTCATCAAATAAACAGGCTCAGCTTTTGTTGTGCCTTGCATGTCTCTGCAAGGCTACCAGACAGAGATTATCTAGTTGGAATTAGAGGCTTTAATGATTGGTAACCAAGTGATCTAGGTTACCTGGATGATCAAAAGCATTTTTTTTACTTTCTGTTTATAAGCATTTAAAAGAGAAGCGAATGATTTAAAAAAACAAATAATGATACTCACCTAGGTAAATGCAGCGTCGGTCTGATGCTTCAGCTGTCCCCCGCCGTCTCTAGGGCTGATAACGGAGCGATCAAAGACCACTGATTGCTCAGTACACATTAAAGATCCAGCTGCATTCCAACAGATCCGCTTTATTATTATAATACAATTCCAACAGGCAGAATCACATATGCAGGAGAACAAGAGCAAGATTGGCATACTTTGCATGTTAGCACTTAATCATAATCTCATTTTACTGGGTAACCAGCAAACGTATACGTCGTCCTGACAGCTGTCAGCAACCAGTTCAGAACCGGACTGCTCCCAGAGATATCTGAGCACAGCACAATAGAAAATCTGGTCCGGACATCCCATATCAAAGCCCCATAGACAAACAATGTTAAAAAAACCTGTATAGAGGTCATTTAAATACTAGAAGCATACAAAATGACATTCTAATAAAGTATACAAAAAATGAATACCATGTATAAGAAAGCATATAAGAACATAAGACACACATATATGTCTGTTACAAATGCATATATTCACCAAACCATCAGAATCAAACTAGATTGAACCAGTAGACCTGCACACCGGGAACCAATATAGTGAAAAGAATATGTATACACCTGGAGGACCTCCACATATAACACTCATGAAAATGCATGAGATCCCACTCAAAGTTCAAACCTTTTGGTATATGTGTCTGTAAAATAAAATATCCAGAAAATTTTGCGTTTGAAAAGTAATCTGAATAAGTTTCCCCCTCTGCAGGGTCTTTTAACACTCTCAATTCCCTGTATGTTCAAAGCTGCGTGATTACCACCATGTACACTATATAAATGATTCGCCACATTAGTGGAACGATTTTCTGTATGTCATATACATGGTCATGGAGGCAATCACGCAGCCTGTTGGTCGTTCTACCCACATATTGTATGTGGCATATTTTACATGTGATCAAATAGATCACATATCTTGTAGTACAGTTAATGAACTTTTTAATTTTGGATTTTGTGCCATTGTTAGCATATACAAACCTGTCCCCTCTCTTCAAGTGCAGACAGCAGGGACACTCCTCTGCACCATAAGGGAAATTTCCCCTGAAGTGCAGCCATATTTCACCCTTTTTTTTATTTGATGAAAAATAACTAGGCCATAGCACCAATGAGGGGGCATGTCAGGAAACTACCCTGACACCTCCTGAGAGGATGCAAGCATACACTTCATCAACACGTGGGATTGAAACACAGTGCTGCTCAGTTCTCAGTCTACAGTGAGCAGAGAGCTGGTGACTATCACCGCTCACTGGAGTGCCAGACTGTGGAGGGGGAGGGAACGGCTGGCTCAGGTTCACAGTGGCGTGCTGAGAGGCTGAGCCAGCTACCAGTCAGGCATCTGGGTGGTTCCAGACATTAAAGTCGGGATCCCTCCAGAGTCTGGACCAGCTGAGTGGACAACAACCAACAGTGGTCAATCAAATCAAGATGGCTGAAGACAGGCACCTGGAAGAAGCTGGGGAAGAGATGCCAGTGGTGAGGGAGCTCATGGACATCAATCTGTTAAAGCAATGGTAAATATTGTGGAGTTTAGTTCCACTTTAACTCTGCAGTCTAGTTGATATGACTTTGTTAGTTGATTGTTGGTCAAGAACACAACCCGAGCCTACTGACTGGACAACAAAGGAGCAACAGCCCAATAAGCTCAGCATTTGCATGCTCTGTTATCTCCTCCTGTCAGTATGGTTATTACCAGCACATGTGCATGCGGAAGACCCCTGCCTGTTTCCTAGTGCTACCACTACTTTTTATATTATTATTATTATTATACAGTATTTATATAGCGCCAAAAGGTTTGCTCAGCGCTGTACATTATAGTGGGGGACAGTACATGAGACAATACAGTAACAAAACAATACATGAGGGGTTCGAGGGCCCTGCTCCTTGGAGCTTACTACTTCTCCTAGTGATGCTGAAGTGAAATGAAAGCTGATATCAAGAAATATTCAGGTGCTCATGTTAGTTGTAGTTAAAATATATTTCTTTTCTTTGAACAAATATAACATTATTTGGTGCCTGGAGTTCCTAATTAAGTCAAAATGATTAAATTACATTTTTAATATTTTAATAAACACACGCTGTATTTAACAAAAAAAAAAATCCACAGAAAGGAAAAGTAGATATTTAAATCAAAAATAAAAACTTTTCACACTTGAGAGAGAGTCTTGGCATTCTTCTCCAGAATGTAATTACCATTTCACAGTTGACTTCTGTTCTACTGTGTGTGTTTGCTAAGGGTGGATAGATAGTTGCTAGCAGTTTAATTGGACTTGCAGGATTTTTTTGTTGACAATGGTTGGCTATAGTTCATTTTACTAACGTAATTAGCCATTCTGCAGAGTGTTCTACAAAGCAAGCACGGCACACTGCGAAATCTAAAGACTACCAGTCCCTGGAAAAGTGCTATCGGTATGTTTGTATTCTATTTTATTCTATTTAATTTAATTTAAACTGCACAGGGAAGAGGAGATGCACATAACCGTGAGATGAATGATTCTGTGGCTTTTGACTAAATACCTCTGTGCCCTTCAGAATTCAAAATCAGTGCATCTTTTTGGGTAATTTTGCACTAGAGAAATGCAAACAAGTAAAATTAAAATCAATCTACGGTCTTGTTAAAAAGTTTTATTTTAAATACGTATGTGAATGCAATCAGTCTAATGTATATTGAAATTTTTATGTTTTATAAACTCTGTAATTATATACTAGCAAAGGAACTGTGATATTTACAGGCAGGAGTTACCATTGGGACTTACCCATTCACACTCACCGTATGGGCACACTTTTCCTTGTATTGCATAAAGTAGATGTAAACCAAACGATTAAATCACATTTCAAATATGTAAATGTAATTTCAAAAGTCATTTACTTTTTTTTATCTGTAGCTTTCATTAAAGTAATACTAGGTCTTTTTTTATGTATTTCCTGTTTCAGGGTTGACAACTTTTTGGTCCCAGTCTCCCAGTTGTGCTTCTGTGTTGTCACCATGTTATTGGGCTTCTGATGGAGACTACAGGTGGCAATTTCAACACAATAGGAAAATGCAAAAAATACAAATAAAGTCTATTTACAATCTTGTTAAAACTTTTTAATTACAAATTTTTAGTGTAATCAGACTGTTTGTCATTATTAGTGTATCTTAAAAGATTTAAAACCCCTCTAATGATATACTAACAAAACTGTGCCAATTGTGGATGCATGCACAGTTGGAATGAATGCCATCCCATGGACAGCTGTAGGCCACCCAGCTCGTGTTTAGTGGACATTATTATTATTACAGGTATTCATATAGTGCCAACTATTTAAGCAGTGCTTTACATACTATATATATTGTACATTCATATCAGTCCTGCCCTCAAAGAGCTTACAAGCTAAGGTCCCTAACTCACATGCATACATACAGATACTAAAGCAAATTTTGACAGGAGCCAGTAACCCTACTTTCAAGTCTTTCGGAGGAAAACTGAGTACCCGGAGGAAAGCCACACAGGCACAAGGACTATATTACCAAAGGTATTGGGACACCCCTCAAAATCATTGGATCCAGGTATTCCAATTACCTCCATGGCCACAGCTGTATAAAATCAAGCCCCTAGGCATGCAGACTGCTTCTACAAACATTTGTGAAAGAATGGGTCGCTCTCAGGAGCTCAGTGAATTCAAGCCTGGTAGTGTGATAGGTTGTCACCTGTGCTATACAGTCAGGTCCATAAATATTGGGACATCTACACAATTCTAATATTTTTGGCTCTATACACCACCACAATGGATGTGAGGTGATTGACTTGGCCATTGCAGAACATTCCACTTCTTTCCCTTAAAAAACTCTTTGGTTGCTTTTGCAGTCTGCTTTGGGTCATTGTCCATCTGCACTGTGAAGCGTCCAATGAGTTCTGAAGCATTTGGCTGAATATGAGCAGATAATATTGCCCGAAACACTTCAGAATTCATCCTGCTGCTTTTGTCAGCAGTCACATCATCAATAAATACAAGAGAACCAGTTCCATTGGCAGCCATACATGCCCACGCCATGACACTACCACCACCATGCTTCACTGATGAGGTGGTATGCTTAGGATCATGAGCAGTTCCTTTCCTTCTCCATACTCTTCTCTTCCCATCACTCTGGTACAAGTTGATCTTGGTCTCATCTGTCCATAGGATGTTGTTCCAGAACTGTGAAGGCTTTTTTAGATGTCGTTTGGCAAACTCTAATCTGGCCTTCCTGTTTTTGAGGCTCACCAATGGTTTACATCTTGTGGTGAACCCTCTGTATTCATTCTGGTGAAGTCTTCTCTTGATTGGTGACTTTGACACACATACACCTCCCTCCTGGAGAGTGTTCTTGATCTGGCCAACTGTTGTGAAGGGTGTTTTCTTCACCAGGGAAAGAATTCTTCGGTCATCCACCACAGTTGTTTTCCGTGGTCTTCCGGGTCTTTTGGTGTTGCTGAGCTCACCGGTGCGTTCTTTCTTTTTAAGAATGTTCCAAACAGTTGTTTTGGCCACGCCTAATGTTTTTGCTATCTCTCTGATGGGTTTGTTTTGTTTTTTCAGCCTAATGATGGCTTGCTTCACTGATAGTGACAGCTCTTTGGATCTCATCTTGAGAGTTGACAGCAACAGATTTTAAATGCAAATAGCACACTTGAAATGAACTCTGGACCTTTTATCTGCTCATTGTAATTGGGATAATGAGGGAATAACACACACCTGGCCATGGAACAGCTGAGAAGCCAATTGTCCCATTACTTTTGGTCCCTTAACAAGTGGGAGGCACATATGCAAACTGTTGTCATTCCTACACCGTTCACCTGATTTGGATGTAAATACCCTCAAATTAAAGCTGGCAGTCTGCAGTTAAAGCACATCTTGTTCGTTTAATTTCAAATCCATTGTGGTGGTGTATAGAGCCAAAAATGTTAGAATTGTGTCGATCTCCCAATATTTATGGACCTGACTGTAAGTCCATCCATGAAATTTCCTTGATACTAAATATTCCACAGTCAACTGTTAGTGGTATTATAACAAAGTGGAAGCAACTGGGAACAACAGCAACTCAGCCACCAAGTGGTAGGCCACGGAAAATGACAGAGCGGGGTTAGTGCATGCTGAAACGCACAGTGCGCAGAAGTTGCCAACTGTCAATAGCTAAAGACCCTCAAACTTTTTGTGGCCTTCAGATTAGCACAACAGCAGTGCATAGAGAGCTTCATGGAATGGGTTTCCATAACCAAGCAGTTGCATCCAAGTCTTACATCACCAAATGCAATGCAAAGCGTCGGATGCAGTCGTGTAAAGTACGCTGCCACTGGACTCTAGAGCAATGGAGATGTGTTCTCTGGAGTGACGAATCACGCTTCTCTGTCTGGCATTCCAATGGACATGTCTGGGTTTGGCAGTTGCCAGGAGAACAGTACTTGCCTGACTGCATTGTGCCAAGTGTAAAGTTTGGTGGAGGGGGGATTATGGTGTGGGGTTGTATTTCAGGGGTTGGGCTTGGCCCCTTAGTTCCAGTGAAGGGAACTCCTAAAGCGTCAGCATACAAAGACATTTTGGACAATTTCATACTTCCAACTTTTTGGGAACAGTTGGCGATATTGGCGGAGTGGAGGCCTGCATGTGTTGGGGATGGCCCCTTCCTGATCCAACATGACTGCAGACCAGTACACAAAGCAAGGTCCTTAAAGACATGGATGAGTGAGTTTGGGGTGGAGGAACTTGACTGGTCTGCACAGAGTCCTGACCTCGCCCTGATAGAACACCTTTGGAATGAATTAGAGCGGAGACTGCGAGCCAGGCCTTCTCGTCCGACATCAATGCCTGACCTCACAAATGGCCTTCTGGAAGAATGGTCAAACCTTCCCATAGACACCCTCCTAAACCTTGTGGACGGAGAAGCCTTCCCAGAAGAGTTGAAGCTGTTATAGCTAAAAAGGGTGGGCCAACTCAATATTGAGCCCTACAGACTAAGATTGGGATGCCATTAAAGTTCATGTGCGTGTAAAGGCAGGCCGACCAATACGTTTGGCAATATAGCATGCGAGGCTCAGAACTAACTCCAGTTTGTTTATTAAAGGAACATTTGTGCAGATGGGCAAATGTATTATGTTTTTTTTTTTCAATTTAAAGTTCACACCAGGACTACTGAAGTATTTCAAGTCCTTCGCTCAGCAGCTCAGCTCATCCTGGCCAGACGGCTGCCAAGTTCCTCATGGGGGAAGGGAGCAGTGTGAGCTGATAAGCTGAAAAAAACTAATTGGATGAGTTATTTTGCTGTGAAGTTTGAGGATGAATTACTTCATACTTCCTTATGTTGCAAAAGACCGTTTAGGGCTTGTTTTAAATGTCATGTACTACATGTTAGCAATATGTACAGTACATATTTGCATGTCTATAGCCTATAACAAATGCCCATGGACATAGGCCCCTAAAAGACATATAGTGCATACATGGCTCTAGAACAGCCTTTCTCAACCTTCTACACTTGAGGAACCCTTAAACATTTTTTCAGATTTTTGTGGAACTCCTATTAAAAAGAATTATACCTACAGCTCAAAGTACATTAGTGTGATCAATAAGCTGAAAAATGTTTTAAATAAAAGAAAAGATAATGTGGCGTACCTAGTGTATTTGACACACGGAGTAGATAATTTTGTGAACCCCCTACAAAACTGTTTTCAGTAATATTCTAAATAATAATCGCGCAGAAAAGAAACCCAGACAGTAAAAAATGGTGTTTTTCTCTAACATAGTGGTCAGTGTAGGAGTGACCACTTAAAAAAGTGGAAAATTGTCCCCTTGAATTGGTGGTCAGGGTAGGTGGGAAGTCAAATCACCATTTCTTACTGTTCAAGGAACCTCATGCAACCTCAGGAGGAACTTTAGATTCCAAAGAACCCTGGTTGAGAAACACTGCTCTAGGATCTTGGACTTGTGCAGTTAAGTGATATCAGGCACCTATTTGGCTAAATAACATACAATGCTTTTGTGGTAAGGGCCACATCATTGCATAACCAACAACAGATGCCAGGAACTGGACTTCTGCTGCAGGAAAAGTTGCAACCATTAGTAATCAGAGGGAGGTGGAAAGAGGAATAAACATTTTTTGCACAGAGCTGTAGTACACACTGCTCTTACTTATCACAGTATTTCTTTAGTTTAATTTCTAAATCTTTATTGCTTCAAGTCATAATAATGGCATCCACTGATTTCTTACTTGGTACATCTCCAGGGCGATGGAGACCAAAGCTTCTGATGATAAGCCACTCTTTATATACTCTATAGTCCTCCTGGTGCCCTACACACGGCGCACTAGTGCATACTGTGCAATTTGTTCTGCCCCAGACCCCAAATCAGGTCTGGAGAACAGCAAACTACACTCTAAGTATCAGTGACTCTGTTGGCCTTTAGTGGTAGAATCTTCAGCTGTCAGTGACAGCCGTGGTCTTCACTAACCAGACAACCAGAGCAGAAACTCTTGGGCTTCCAACCTTGCTGTGGAGCACTAGCTACTGAATGCATATTGGAGTGTGCTTAGTATAATAGGGTGTATAGAGGTGTCCGCAGTGTCCACTGTACAATACAGTACACCATCCAGATTGCCCGATTGTTGTGCAGTATGTTACCCCACACTGCTTATCCCTGCACCATCATAGAACAGTCATAGGCAGAATTTATTCATACACTGGGACTTCTGAGATTCACCCCTGATGAACAGACACACGTTTCCTAGTATTGCATAAAGTAGATGTAAACCAAATTATTAAATCACGACTTCAAACATGTAAATGCAATTTCAAAAGCAATGTAATCATGTTTAAATCTGTAATATTTATTTAAAAAATATCCTGTTGAAGATCCTTGTTCAGGCAATTCTGTTTCTCCCAGTTGTGCTCCTGTGTGGTGACCATGTTATTGGGCTTCTGATGGAGGCTACAAGTGGTCATTTATTATCCAATATTTGTTTTATCCATATGTAGAAACAGGTACAAAGATAAAAGAGGTACATGGTGATGTCATACAGTAGTAGCAGTTTCATATCATATGTATGAATACATCAGGGTTGGGTTTACAGTATGCAAGCTTATGTTAAGCATTAGAAAAGATACACCTGACTCAACGGAAGACCCCTATCAACACAATCGTAAATTCTACAAGAGAGTTGTGGGTAAAAGAAGAGGAAGGGGTAGGAAGTGGAAGAGGAGACCAAGGCGTGTACATAGCCAATTGTGAGGGGTCCTAACAAGCAAGGAAAACCAAGGTCAATCTGATTATGGTTCCAGAAGAGATGGGTCCAAGCCAGGCAGGTGAAAATGGTGAATCCAGGGTTGCCATAATTTGACATATTTAGGAATCCTGTCCTGTAAGGAAGCTTCAATTTTGGCCTGAATCATAGCCATGGTTATCCTATTCTTAGTTTCAGTGAAACAAAGCCTAGAGGTTTTCCAGGCTTTAACTACAGTTTATTTTGCCATGGTTGTGATTTGAAGAAGGACCTTAAATTGCAGCTTGAAAAGTTCCAAGGGGTGCTTCTTGAGGAGCACAACTATAGGATCGGGGTGGAAAGAATCACAAATATTTCTAACCAGAACTTACTAAATAGGAGGAAAACCCACCAATTATGTAGAAGCAAACTAATGTCCTTACATTCTCGAAATGAGGTTGGTAGGTAGGTTGGGACATATTTATGAACCTGGGCAAGAACTAGATACCACCAAGAAAGCGCTTTACAGGAGGTGTCCAAAGCAGCCACATTCTATGAACAGGGTTTTGTTACCATCCATATATCAGACCAATCTTCGGTTTCTAGGGTGACACTCACGTCAGTTGTACAAGTGGCCATTTCAACACACATTGGGGTTGATTTACTAAAACTGGAGAGTGCAAAATCTGGTGCAACTCTGCATAGAAACCAATCAGCTTCCAGGTTTTATTGCCAAAGCTTAATTGAACAAGCTGAAGTTAGAAGCTGATTGGCTGCCATGCACTGCTGCACCAGATTTTGCAATCTCCAGTATTAGTAAATCAGTCCTACTATGTAGGCATGATCCACTGTTATCACCATCAGGAATGAGAAATGTCTTGCAGCCGTTGCTGTAGTGGATAGATGTTGACAGGAAGAGGCTTTAAAAAGGCTCCAGTGGATCAGCAGTACTGAGACGCAACAAAAACAATAAAAAAAAAAAAGATGATGAAAAGAAGTATTTTATTTTTCCAAAAATCAATTGTTCATGATACACAGTGCTTCAGTAAACTAATTGTCATTCACTTAGGGTTTAAATCTATTTTTTAAAGGGTTTTACAGTAATTCACAACAGGATTATGACCTTATTTAGATAGGAATATGTTCTGCTCTGCAAACAAAGCAAACAATCGTTTGTCAATATGTCCGGTGATTAACCTATAGTCCAGTATTATTTACTTGTCCATTACTAGCCGTACAGAAAGCAGCTGAAGAAACATATTGTTGCTGGGATGCAGTCAGATCCCATAGTCTATCCATCATGAATGAAAACACAGATTGTCCTCTTGTACCGGAATGTCTTGTGGTTTGAAAAAATGGGGTGTTTGAGAAAGAGCTGGCAGCGGCCCTGCTATGTAAGCACAGGAGCTAAATTCAGTAGCTGACTATTTCTTTGAACAGTACCTTTCAATGTAAGCTGAACAGTTCTGGTTCAAAGGTATCTCAAGATACCAAAAGGCAGAAAAAAATATTTGTAAGCCCTGGTTCACACTGATGCGGTGTGGAATTTGCAGCGTTTTCTGTGCGAATTCTGCACCGCATCAGAATCGCACCCTGTTCATGCGAACCACTGCGGGTGTATACATTAACCTCCCTAGCGGTCTGATTATGTCCATATTTTTGTGCTCAAAGCGGTACATTTATTTGCATGGAAATATGTATTTTTTTTATTGTAGGCTGTAATTTTTAGGAATAACTCACTGAAATCTGTCCGAACAAGAGCCTAGTAAACATCCCGGGTAAGATAAAACTTGAAACACGAAATCATAAATTATAATATAATAAATAGTCATAAAAAAATAATAATATAATAATAAATTTAATTCAATAATATAATCAAACCAAAAACACTGAAATTTGAAATATAGCGCCATGTTCGCACATCACTGAGCAAAGTCGCAAAATCGTTTTCAGTGTCTGATGACGAATTTCCCCACAAATCATTATTACGCAGTTCTGCAAGTGGTTCTGATTTACTATCGCTGT